CTTTATTATGGTGTGCTAATCATTAAAGTACTACAGAATATGATTTTCTGGTATTTTATTTATTTTTTCAAATATATTCAAAAGGTTCTATGTCTTTCTTCGTTATATCTTTCTGAATAGGGTCATACTTAGGCTAGAAAGTTTACATATGGGGCTAATGCTTACATTCAAGAGAACACCATTAAAACCCACAAGCCCAAATCTCTCATGCTTGTGTGTTCCAGAAAGAAAAACTGCCTACTTGTTTTTCTCAGCTCTCTCCTATTATTTTTATAAAAAGTAATTTTATGATAATCTTTTGGGAGTTTCCTAACATAAAAAGAGCAGGCAATAAAATGTGAACTTTTGATACTCAGACCAAATCCTCTGCCAGCACATTTTCCATCCAAAGTAACTAACAGGGACTAAGTAGTTCCCTAAAGACAGGGATTTTAGTGTGACTACATTTAGTGCTGTGACCCAGAATCTACAACAGTGTCTGAGTCATTTTTTATCAAGAAACAAGTTTGAGTTTATTTATGAATTCTAGCATATTCTTTTTTTATATGCCTTTGTTGTTCTGGAAAAATCATATATGTTTTTTGTAAGTGGAAAAACACTTAAAATATGAATAAAAATTCAAAGTAAAATGGAAGCTAACCACAGAGTTAAGTACTGTTACCATTTTGATAAACCTACTTCCAAACATATTCCTATCCACACCTACACATACAGATAATAAGGTACAGAATTTTATAACACTTGGCCACATGTTGTTTCATAACCTGCTTTTAAAATTCCATTTTATGCTGCAAACACTTTCTAAGATAACAAGTATAGATAAATATCATCTTAAATAAATTAATAGAATGTAGCATGAAACACAAAATTGCAGATGAATATGTTTAAATTATTGGCATTAGATGTGAAAAAGTAAAATTGTAAGCTAGTGAAATCAGGAAAAATACCTTAATAGCACTGCTCAGGAAATGTCATTATATCTATTTACATCACATTTTGTCTATATTATTATTCTTGCTAAAGGAACATTAAAAGAAAAAAACTCCTTTCAGCATAGTATCAACAAAATTCAACCCTCAAGCAGAATACCTGGGACAGCTGACCAGAGAATTCAGAAGGCTCAAGTTACAGGGAGACAGGAAAAATGGAAAGCAAAGGCATCTCATGGTGACAAGTAACCAAGAGCAAACATTTTACTAAGTGGGTTGAAGAGAATGACAGCCTCCTTGATGATATACTTTATAATGACTCTGGACTTTAAATTTGAACACATGCATATCAGAGATTGACAATGAAGACGTTGATAACAGGAATCTCACAAGCAGAAAACACAAACGAAACAAAGCACGCAGAGGAAAATCAGTAGATCATGAAACATTGTGTATTTTGGCAAAATCAGACTCAAAGTATCTTTTGGAAGAAAGATCTGGATTTAAATTCCACCTCAACTTTTGTTAAGTAACACAGCTGCTATGAATAAATTTTCTTTATTTAAAAAAAAACTTCTTGTGAGAACAATGTGTGATCTTGTTTATAAAGTGATTAGCACAATGCCTAATACCAAGTTAATGTTCAATGTACGTGAATGTGTTCACATGTCCACAATATTTCGATATTTATTTCAGAATTTCACCACTTATAATAGTTTATATATAAGCATGCTTATGTTAATTTTTGTGTAAAACTTGTTCTAGACTCTTCCATGATTTGAGTTCAGTCATTCCTAATCTCATTTGCTGTTTTCTCAGTGTCCCAAGCTGTAGATTGTTCTAAGATTATCATAGATAGATATCAGGAATAGGTAAACCATCAGTACCTATTGTGATCAATATCCTGGTGTCCAGAATTGGAGGAGCAGGTTACCAATATCTCAACAAGGGGATTCTGCTCATCACAGACACTTTGCACCCCAGGCTGGAAAAGGCTCTTGTGATAATTGTGTACAGTCCACAAATCTATGAAACTATGTGAGCTACTTTCTTTTTACAAAATCATCCAAAAAAAAATTCTAGGGAAAATATTTTTTTAATCAGGAAAAATATATGATCAACCCAGATTTGGTGTATAGTCTACATTCCTGAATAAAACAGAATCTTAGGATATATGGGCTGACAACCATTAGGGATTTAAGCCCATCTCCTTATTCATATACTTCAGGAAATGGAGGCCCTGAGAACTCAGAGGGAGGTGGGGATGGCCCTGCACCTACAACCCCGTTTCCTGACTTTCTGTCTAGTGCAATTTCCGCTGTATCACATGGTGGCCTTTTCTCTGAGCCAAGTTCTCAGACCTCACACAGCTCCTCCTGCAGTACTTACCTAGTCTCTTCACCCCCAACTGATGTCGATGGATTTTATTCTCTGCAGTACCTGATCAGCCCCCTACAACCCCAATTTTTCCCTCTTGCATAATGCAGATAGAATCAATCACCTGCATACCGAGCACACCTATGATTCTACACCCTAAAATGGTCCCCCAGAGTTGAGCAAACTCGTATAAACAAGAGTCAAGGGGGAGAATGGGATTCCTGATTAATCAAGTTCTAGTCACCTCTTCTCCAACAATTCCATGATGAAAGCACCTTGATCCCCTCAAAGAAAAACGTAGCATTTCCAGATGCCATTATAGCTCACTTTCACACCTAAATGCCTAAACTCTGAAACTTTGAAACTTTACCTAGTATAGTAAAACTTCTTCAGTAACTATAGACACATACATTTATATGTGTGCATCCTCATGTTCACATACATGCCCTTAAGTATCTATCTTCATCGACATAAGCATATATGCAAACATGTATGCAAACATATGTAAGACATATATACCACTATCACTTCAGTTTAAAATATTGTATGAAGGCAGTAGTAGAAAGAGCACTAAACTAGCAATCAGAAGTCCTTATATATAATCTTAACGTACATACATTAGCCTGTCTGTAACCCCATTTATATTTGTATTAGTCCATCTCTGTGGCTTATAACAAAATACTTGAAACTGGATGATTTATAAAGAAAATGAAATTCATTGCTTACAGTTTCTGAGGCTGGGAAGTCCAAAATCCAAGGAATACATCTGGTGGTGGCGACAGTAAACCAGGGGTCTCACACTGCAAGATGGTGGAAGCAGAGAGAGCAGAGAGAGACTCTCCTCTTCTTTTAAAGCCCTCAGAACCACACCCCTGACCAGCATTTTTAATCCATTCACTACTGCACAGTCCTACAATCGAAACACCTCTTCAAGGCTCCACCTTTCAATGACCATAATAGGATTTCCTACCCTCTTATGAGTCACAGTGGAGGCTAAGTTTCTAATATGTGAAACTTCGGGGACACAATTCCAGCTTCAATGAGTTATGGGCGGACATAATTCAATCCATTACAAGCTTTAAACCTCAATAACCCTACATGTTCCCACATTCTTCCAAAGAGTTTTATAAGAATGTTATTTATTCAATACAGATTAAGCTGACGTATGAAAATTTCGGAGAACACTGTGCTTTCAAGGTGTCAGCGGTTATTTTGTTGCAATTATTATCACAGTTAAGATCACCGTTTGCATTTGTGTTTGTTAGGCATCAGATGGACGTAAAGAGTTTTTCCACCACCGCGATCCTCACCCAATCCTCATCACACTCCTCCTGATAATTATGCCTACTTAAGGAGGTTGTTGAAAGGATTAAAGGAGTTAATACAATCAAAACTCTTAGAACAATGTCTGCCATTTTAGTAGAATTCAGTAAGAGTCAGATTTTATCACACACTAAAATATAAGCTCCGTGGGCACAGAAGTCTTGTCTGCTTTCTTTTCTGCTGTACCCCCAGCCCTGAGAATAGTACCTAGCACATGCTGAATGTTCAATAAATGTTTGTGGAGTAAATTGTGGCATAAGCCTGATACTTACAAGGGCTTTAGAGGAAAGAACAAAGACAGAGAGGGAATAGAAAGAGAAAATGGACTCGAAGACATAACAAAGAAACAGGTAGGAGCAGCCTTTGAACAACAGACTCTGATATAGGCCTTTACAGAGTCCTACAGGACCTCACACAACCTTCTGAAGCTGGTATTGTTAATGTCTCCTTTCGTAAATGTGGAAATTGAGACGCAATGAGATTAAATGACCCACGAATGGCTAAGTGAGACGTCTAATAGGCTCTTCTAATTCCATCTTGCACAAGCTTGGCTCTCTCCAACTGGGAAATGGAGCAAAGCAAAGGGCACTACTGGGGGCAGTGGTCCCTGCTCTGTTGGAAAGAGAGGAACCAGCACCTCTGGAAGGAGTGCTGCCAACTTGCTCTCCTCAGCTCTGTTCCATCATCCCAAGACACTATCAATCCTTCATTTTTCAAAAGTTCTTGGTCAATCCTGCTTGGTGTCCATTCACTCACTCTTTGTCAAATGGTCCTGAGGTGAGAAAAGCACTGAAAGCAGACTTAGGGCCCTGGGTTATTGTGCCCACACTGCTCTGGACTAACTGTGTGACTTTGGGTAAATCACTTATCCTCTCCACATTTATTTATTTATTCACCTGCCTGCTGAGAACATGATGTAAAGGCATAAGAGTAAAGTGGCTTAAATATTATAACAGAGAAGAAAATGAGTTTCATTGAGCACCGCATTAGCCAACATAGAGAAATTATGTAGTGCTTTTATCCAGTGCATGGATGAGAAACCTCAACATCCAACAGACTCCCTCATTCACAGGCTCTCACGAGACTCCTGAATGAGCTCTTAATTATTACATTAAGAGTCTCCTGGACTGTAACCTTCTTGAGAGTAAAGATTACACCTTACTTTTATTTGTATTTCCAGCACCCCACTCATTGCAGACGCTCAATAAATATTTAATGAATGAAGGGTTGAAAGAATATTTTATTAAAATGAAAAGAGCTAGGAGGTCAGTTGTCATTACAAGCATCAAACTGAAGATAAAAAGCCTGTGCTTGATGCTACAGGATGGGAGGTCTCCCAATATCCATGCAGGATTGAGATTCTCTGGAATGTCACTTCTCTCCTAAACTTCCCTTGATCATAAACAGCTTCCTCATGGCAGTTTTCACCTCATTGTTCCTTAATGTATAGATGAGAGGGTTGAGCAAAGGGGGCATCACAATGTTAAAGAGGATGACAAGTTTGTCTGCAGCCAGGGTGGTGGAGGGACGAATGTACATGAACATGGGGGGCACGAATACCAAAAGGACCATGATGATGTGTGAGCCACATGTCGAGAGTGCCTTGCGCCGGCCCTCAGATGACCGGCGTCTCAGGTTCGGTAAGATGACCACATAGGAAATGATAAGAATGAGAAAGGAGACTAAAGAGATCATGCCACTGTTGGCCACCACAATGAGCCCCACCACATAGGTGTCTGCACAGGCCAACTTCAGCAGGGGATGAACATCACAGAAGAAGTTGTCTATCTCATTGGGCCCACAAAAGGGCAACTGGACTGTGAGAAGGGTCTGCAGAAGGGAATGCAGGAAGCCAGCGACCCAGGAGGCCCCCACCAGCAAACCACATTTCCGCCGATCCACGATGTGTGCGTAGTGCAGGGGCCTACAGATGGCCACATAATGGTCATAGGCCAGGGCTGTGAGGAGGAAGATCTCAGTACCAAAGGAGTGACAGAAAAGAGCTGGGTCATGCAGCCATTGAAGGAGATGATTTTGCGCTCCATAAAAGTGTCAGCAATCATCTTGGGTGTAGTGGCAGATGGATAACACATGTCGGCCAAAGACAGGTGGCTGAGGAAGAAATACATGGGACAATTCAGGGTCTTGCTGGCACTGATGGTGGTGATGACCAGAAGATTACCCAGGACAGTGAGCACATGGAAGAGGGAGAACACCACAAAGCATGCATACTGCATCTCCCTGCTGTGGAAAAGGCTGAATAAAACAAACTCAGTCACCTTGTTCTTGGCATCCATGGATTCTCTACCTGGAGCAGGGACAGTGTGGCTGGCTCTGTAAAGACACAAATTTCCTGAGACATCACCAAGATACCAGCCTTCATCCCCCCACCAAAAAAAAAAAAAAATAGAAAGAGAGAGAGATAGACAGGTGCCCACAAATCAAAACAGCCCTGAGAGGGCTCAAGGGCCCATTGAAGAATCTTCAGCAACACAGTGAAGAAAAAAAAAAAAGGATACTAAATACACATTAAGTATTGTTGGTGAGATTGGCATACTTGAGCTGCCAAGAGCCAACAAGAAACAAAGAAGAAAGTTGGAGGCTATTAGTATCAGCCATGTGGTGGGAACAATTGTGGTCCCCAGCAGCATACTCCGCAGAGGACACCAGCATCTTTTGCCACTAAGGTAACCAGCTGCCATTCCCACCAGGGAACCCCAGAGAGGGGTACATGGTTTCACACCTCTCCCCTAACAAGAACAAGATGCTGTTGAGCCACTTCAGGAAAGGAGCCACCACCTCTCTCAACAACATGCATACCCTGACCCCTGAGCCACAGCTACTCCTCAAGTGCCCACACTCCAGACCCAGCCTCTGTGGCTGCACTGCACCCACACACTCTCAGACACTGGGGCCATTCCCAGAGTGAGCTAGTTTGCACTCCAGGCCCTGGAGCCAAAGTGTCTCCGAGCATGCCCGCATTCTCAGCACCATATAGCCACCATAGAGAGTTAGTCTCCACCTCACCTCCGAGACACTGTAACTCTGCAAACATCTATGCTCCTATTCTCAGCTCAATGGCTGCTTCATAAGCACCCATGTCTTGTATACTGTTATCAATGTGGCAGCAGAAATGCCTGCACCCCAGACACCAGTGCCACTAGCACCACAAATCCTAGAGCCGCAGTCCTCCATGCATGCCCATGCTTTAGGCTTCAGCTTCCTGGCTGCTTCACAGATGCCACTCCTCAGACATCTGTGCCACCACAACCAAGAAGGGGCACACAAGCCAGAATCAGTGCCAAGAAGGATGCCCCTCAGCTGCAATTTTTGTAGGGGGAGAAAAAGAAGTCTTTAGCAGCCATTGCCACAAAAGATCTCAACTATCCTCACTACCACTGCAGACATCTACAGCATTGGCCACTGAGGATTACTGCAATCTGCATCAGCACTGACCTCAGCTGACAGAGATGTCCAGAGACTACACAGCTGCATCCCACTGATGCCAGAACCACTGCACCCACCCAACAAGATTCTTAACACCCATTGCCTGCAGGGCAAGGTGTTTCCACACTAAAACTAGCTCATAAAATCTGGAAGAGATGACTGTTCATGAAGTACATAGACATAAACTTAGAAGCAATGAGAAACGTGAAGAACAAGGAGACATAACATTATGAAAACAATAATTTCCAAGTTGCTGACCCCCCAAAAATGGAAATACATGAACAGCTTGACAGAGAATTCAATATAATTTCTTCAGGAAGCTCAGCAAGCATCAATAAATTATAGAGAAACAATTCAACAAAATCAGGAAAACAATAAACAACCAAAACTAGAAATTTAACATAAAGATTGAAATTATTTTTTAAAATATAAAAAAGACAGGAAACTCAGATAAAAATCGGACAAAAATGCCATGAACACACAATGGAGAAAGGAAAGTCTCTTCAATAAATAGTTCTGGGAAAACTGTATAACCACACAAAAAAACAAAATTGCTTCTCCAACCTCATCATCTCTCACTCTCCCCTTTGTTCACTCCTTGTCAAGCACACTGGCTCCTTAATACCTATCAAACACATGCTGCCATCTTGGGATCTTCGCACTAGTTTTTCCTTCTACCTGGAATATTCTTCCCCGAGATATCTACTGACATACTCCCTCAAGTCTTTGTGCAAATATTGCTTTTTCAAAGAGGCTATTTGACCACCTATTTAAAATTACAACCTCTCAGTGCTCCCAATCCTCCTTGCCTTGCTCTGATTTTTTTTCTTTCCATACTACATATCTCTTTTGGACATATTATATGATTAATTTGTTATTTGTGTATTTTATCATCTACCTCCCCCCATGAGAATATCAGCTCCATGAGGCAGGTTCTTCGTTTTGTTCTCAGAGGCATCCTCAGAACACTGCCTGGTGCATCATAGGTGGTTGATTAATATTTCTTGATTTAAATAACTGAATGAATGAGTAACAGCTATAAGGGATCAAATACAAAAACAATAACTTATACATTTATAGGACTTTACAACTACACATCATCTTATTTCATTGCGCTAATATTTACTGAGCACTAATATGTGCCTGACACAAGCTAAGGTTATTGCACATATTAGTTCAAATCCATGCGACCGCCTTGGGAAATGCATATTATTTATTCCTTCCTTTTACACAGGCAGGATCTACAACTCACAGAATTATTTTCTCAAGTTCACACACAGTCACAACTAACTCTCACTTTATACTACAGCTAAAATATACTATGTGGAAAGCATCTTATTATATAGAAATTGTGAGTTTCCATGCAAATGTTTACCCTAGATGTACAGTATCAGAATAAATCTAGATCAGAGACAGACCTGAGAAAATAAAAGCATGTTAAACAAATGAATGAACAAATGAATAAGTGAATGAATAAACAACTGTCTCAGATTCTAAGTAATTTGTGAATAAGTTATTATAAAATAAATACAGTCATCCCTTGGTGTCCATGGAGGGTTGGTTCCAGACCCCCTTGCATATACCAGAATCTGCAGATGCCCGAGTCACTTATATAAAATGGTGTAGTATTTGCATAAAACCTACACACATCCTCCCATACACTTTAAATCATCCCTAGATTACTCATAATATCTAATAAAATGTAAATACTGTGTAAGTAATTGTTATACTCTATTTTTATTTATGTTATTTTTTATTGTTTTTCAAACATTTTTGATCCATGGTGGTTGAATCCATGGCTGTGGAACCCAAGAATATAAAAAGCCAACTGTAATTGTATTAAATTCTACAAAAAAATTGTTCACTGCCTCCTAAATACCTAGCATTGTGTCAAAAGCCTTTCCCAACAGGGATGTTTGAAGGATAAAATGAAATTTTAAACAAAAAGAGAGAGATGTGGACACTAGGAAGCTGGGCTTCAGGCCTTCTCTTCTTGGCATATCAATCAGTAAACTTGGTAAACTGCAATGAGTTCTACCATGAGTACATCAGCAAAACTGTAGGATGGTGTGTTGTAATTAAGAGTTTATCATCAAGGGCAGGCTGGTAGAGAGAAGGGACAAAGAAAGTGAAAGCCCACAGGACTGTGTCTGAGCACTGCTTTTGCCACATTTCATTATCGTGGTTGCAAAAAACGAAATCAAATGACATTTGTTAATAGCAGGAAAGTAAAGGAGATCCTCCATCATGTATTATAAACTCTTAGATAAGCTCCAGTCCTGCATCTCCAGGAGAGTTAGGGTCCTGGAATGGGGCTCACAGAAGACTGAGGGGAAGAATAAAAATGCCTGGGGCATAAATAGACCACAGAAGTTGGCACTAAGGGTTTACACTCAGAGAAGCCAAATTAAGACGCAGATGAAATCAGGAGAACAATAAGCAATGGCAATGACAAACAGGAACAAGGAAATAATTGTCATCTCCTGGGATATTCTGCCTAGGATTATTAAGTATCTTCCCTCTCCCAAATATTCTCAACAGAAAATATATGTATTTTACCACAAAATTCTTTTTCTACACACTTTTAAAATTTCTGAAAATGGTTTGATTAGATGGTTCCATTTACCCACAGAATAGAAGTAAGAGATAGCCCTGAAAATAGCCTTCCAGTTACAGTCACTGAAAAACGCTAGAACAAAAATAATATAGTCACTGTGAGTACCCAAAAAAGACTTAGGTAGCAGGCAAATCTCATCATCATTATTGCATGAAATTCTACAATATTTTGTTTTTATTTAGTCTTACAACAAGTGTAGGACATGCACATTGTTTGTATCTGCTCTTATGTAACACTCCAAGAAGAATTGATGAGGACCAAATTCCTGCCTGGGATGGCACAGCTGGTATACTGGCCATCCTCTGAAAACTGTTCTTAGAGGCAGCATCACAGTCTGTAAGAGCCCAGACTCTGGAGCCGGGTTCCATGAGACTAAATCTTCCACTCCCTAGATTAATGGCATTGGGCAAGTAACTTGACCTCTCAGAAACTCAGTACAAAGTGTCCTCTCCTTTACATATAAGGACATTTCACATATGTCCTCATATGTAAAATGGAGACAATAACAACACGTATCACCTAGGATGGTTGTTGTGAGGCTGCTGAGAGATGATGTAAAAGCATTTAGTACAGTGCCTGGCACTTAGTAGGTGCTCAGTAAATATCAGCTACTACTAGATCTCAACAGTTGTATGTCAGACTTAGGTGGGAGATTGGTTCATAAGAGCAATGCTATAGGATATATTTCCAAGTATTTTTTTTTAATTTCTACATATTTCAAAACATTTTTACTAAATCTCAAATACAAAGAATCTCAAAACTAAGGGATACCTAATGTGCAAGGTAGTCTAGCCCCACCTGCTCTTACAGCCAAGCCCTCTAAGGATAAAGATGAGACAACAGGGCTGGCCCGGTCACGCACTCGGTAGAGTGCGGCACTTGGGAGCGCAGCGGCCCTCATGCCGAGGGTTCGGATCCCATATAGAGACTGGTCCGCTCACTGATTGAGCGCGGTGTGGGCACGACACCGAGGGTTGCGATCCTGTTACCGGTCACGAAAAAAGACAAAAAGGAAAAATAAAAAGATGAGACAACAGGGCTGGCCCGGTCACGCACTCGGTAGAGTGCGGCACTTGGGAGCGCAGCGGCCCTCATGCCGAGGGTTCGGATCCCATATAGAGACTGGTCCGCTCACTGATTGAGCGCGGTGTGGGC